AAAAAAAAAAAAAAAAAACAAAGAACGACTACATCTAAAACACAGTTCCAAACAGCTCAGAATTACAATAAACAGCAAATCACTACTAATCAAAACGAATTAAAAGCGCAACTACCAATCTTCTTAAGCAGAGAAGACGGCTGTTTGCAAACTGACAAACTTCTAATTCACTGGGAAAAACTGCCGCAAACACATACAACGTATAAGCGAATTCCGCAAAATCTCAACCAAGTGTTTTCGCTTCCACCATATACTGCTCATCAAGATACAATGTCTAAAATCCAAAAAATCTCATAAAGCGAAAAATATGCTCCAAAAAGATAAACTGCTTTTATTTCAAAATTGTTATACTTCCAGTGACAGAACCATAAACAGAAATAAGCCAGCAGTCAGAAAACAGAATTTTTGCGAATAATATACACTTAATAAAATTCCAGTTTTAATCTTACTTCAAAAAATGATTTCCCTATTGTATCCGAAAGAACCCTAATGGTTTTCCAATCAATTTGTAACTGTAAAGTATTCCCGCTATACTCTTCATACGTATAACTAAGTAAATTTCAAATCAATTTCCTGCATCGATCAAGTGGTATTAATAAAACTACTTTGTCTACGCAAATTAATTGGCGGCTTTGTTCAAATAAACTGTAAGATATCAAATTAAGGTCTGGAACGTAACACCAGAGCTGAGAATCAGAGCTTCCCCAGTAAAAAACAGAGGTACTACTAATTAGCTACTAATTACTACTAATTCACTACTAATTAGCTAAAAATGACGAGTGTGCTAATTTTTTGACACTTAAAAAAGAAGTATAGAAAAGCTGTTTGTATACAAAATATTATGAATGACATTTTTATGTATTTAACACATCTTTTTCGGCTTTCTCAATGAAACTGCTAAAAAAAATCACAGATTCACAGTAAAAGGCATATTAATCTGAAATGATTCTCAAATAGCAGCCGTCATTACACTTAATAAAATAGAAAAAATTTCTCAAAAATGTCTTCTAACAATGTTAGTTTTTTCGACTTAAAAGAATTATTAATATTCAAAAAGTAACGGTCACCTGCAATCCCTGTTGCGTATATGATGCCAAAACATCAGGATCCCACTCAAAGTTTATTACTGCAGCTGGAGCAAGACTCAGTTCGCCGAGTGTTTTTGTTTCATCGCTTAGATTATTGCCAGAAACAGGGTCTTTCAAAATGAATAAAGGTAAGTCGGGTTGTGCGAGATGTTGAGACACAAATTCACGAACATTACTTAATTTTTCATAACACCCAAAAGTACCCTAAATCATAGCAATAAGACATTTGTTTTAAATAAGGCATCCAAACTAGAACAACTAATCAAACGAAGCAATTCGGATCAATAATGTTCAAAACCTGCAGGAAGAAGTCGTCTGGGAACCTTGTCCTTATCACTGTGTACTTATAAGTGTATCGCCGCAAAGTTTCATCACGTATTCGCATTTCCTGAGTCCTCAACATTAACATCTGAATCAAAAATTTACAAAAAATTCTTGATACCTCACAAAGAATCTTCAGTTCTGAGATAAGTAAAAAATAAAACAATTAACAATTCTCTTTAGCATTTACAAAAATAAAAGGTCAGACAAAACAGTTACGTACCCTTTCTGCCTCCAAAGTTTTGGCAGCCTGTTCCTTCTTCAGCTCTTCAGCACTTAGTTGGAAAAAATCAGGTGACAAGTCCTCATTCGTTAATTTCACAAATTCACTTGCCTTGAAAACCTGTGAAAACCTCCTCTCAAAAACCATTTCTTTCTTTGCGTTAGGAAACCATCCTTAAACTATAAAACTGTGCGCCAAGAAGAAGATCTAATAATTTGTATACCACAGGATCGCGATAAAGTTTCAATGGTACTGGTTCTCCTGCTCTCAATATCTCCAAAGCTTGGACTAGTGACGCAATATCCATTGCCTTCTCTTCCGTTATAATTAAGAATTTCTCAGGAGTAGAATTGTCCAGAGATTCTAACTTTTCTTCAAATCCACACGCCAGTAAAAATTCTAATCCGCCCTTCACACACAATACACGATCCTTAAAAAGTTACTGAGAAACCAAACGGTTGCAGGAAAGAACACGTATGAACTTGATCTCAGCTTTAAACTTAATGATCCTCATGTGGAAAAAAGCACTTTTGAAAAACACTGCATCTCCGCTTCGGCCTGACCCAGTTTGAGTAAAATAACCAAACCAGTATAAGGAACAACTACGAACAAAAAATCACAACTTTTCTTGCACAATTTAAATTTAAATTATAACTTTTATAACAGTTCTAAAGGTAAAAAGTCTGAAACACACCTAAAAACAATAATCCAAACCAAAACAATTGCTGTACAAAAACGCAACACTATGACAACATTTTAGGAGGGTCAGAGAAGAGAATTAAGACTGACCTGAAAACGTAAAATGCAGTCTTTTTATAGCATTTCCAGAAATATTTACGACGCAGAGTATCTTTAAAACTTTCCCGTATTCTAAGGTAGGCTAAAAGGCACAGCGTTTCTAACGCACAGTTCATAAGTCTCTTAAAAAATAAAAATTCCTAAGTTTGCTAATAAACTCAAATCCCGTAGTCTTCTAACTGCACCAAGCTGCCAGTTTATAAGCGCTACGTTTTACGCAGCAGACCTTTCTATAAAATTTTTTACAGATAACATAAAATGCTGCCTAAAAATCTTCTTAATTTTGACTTCTTTTTGAATTTGCTGCGTATTTCACTGAAAAGTTAGATGATAGCTTAAAAAATGCATTGGATTATAAATCAAAACCTCCTAAATTTGCTAATAATAGAAAGAAACTTCTAAAAACATTTATTTTAAGTAAAACAAAAAAGCCCCTTTTTTCGACTTTACGGAGATTTAATTTTGCGAAGATTCCACAACCCCAACAAAAACCGTTAGTGTTCCAAACTTTATGCTACACTTTGTCAATTACAAGAGCTAGAAAACCTGATATAAATTTTTAAAAATGTACGATCTTAGATGAAAATTAAATTTAGGACTTCAATGGGGAAACAAACTAGGTTTCGATTGTAACAGAAATTACCTTTAAAGCTTTATTAGACATGCGAATACGTCGATACTTAGTTTCTTCTGGATGCTCAATTAAATTCTGCACATACTTCTGAAGCGTTTCAGATGCTATTTGCCGTTTTTCTCCGTTTAACGAGAAAATCATCAATGAAGATGCCACTAAAGCATCATCATCCAGTTGTAAACGTAAGAAATCTTCCACTTTTTTCCGCATCTAAATAAAAGAGCACTGACAACGTACAATAATTAGTAAAAAGAACTTATTAAAAACCGGACCCAGAATTGAAGCTTTAAAATATTTTCGACAAGTTGGAAACAAACATTAATTCAAGGTGGAGAGGTCTAGGAAAAAGTAAGCACGCATAAGTTTACACGTAACTTAGAATATGCTGTGGAAGTATATCTACTCAATTATAAACTGAAATAGTTGTTCAATATAAAAATGTACTCTAAATTCGTTTAAGGTATCTCGCTGCTGTCCGAAACATTCTATTTTACAGTGCTACGCCACT